TTCAACTGACAAATGCTATACTTAAACAGCTGTCTACTAGTTTTGGATTATTCAGTTGAGCTAGTATGGCAGCATACCTGTTCACAGTATTAATTGTACAGTTTTCACATATTCCAACTATCTACACATCTAGTCTAATATTTGCTCTCATTTATTTTTTCAACTTCTCTTCTTTCCTCCACTTGCCAATACAGGAAATTGTTATTTCTTTGTCCCACCCCACCTTCCTTATTTCCTTGAAGGGGAATGGATCTCCTAGATGCTATATGAGAATCAAATTAAAAATCTTTTTCAATTCAAAACACCTTTAGTTTAAAGTATAATAATTGTTAAAACACCATAGAAGGTCACAAATAATAAAAATATCTTCCCTTCAGTCTTCATTTCTTAAAATTGTAACAAAGCATTCATTCATCATGACATTATTGTAAAAAGGTGCAAAAATTTGTCCTACATAAATCACGCCTGAAGAGAAATGGAAGAATAAGAGTGCTGCGGAAGGCATATTATGAATCAGACCGGAGAACATCAAGAAAGGGCAAATGGATTTTTCGACGCCATGAATCCAAACAGAGATGGCAAAATAAGACGCGAGAATTTGATGGTGATGATGAAGCAAAGAACATGTACGGATGATGAAACAGGGAGTGTTCAATCTGTTGAACAAAGATGGGACTCGAAAACTATTTTTGGATGTTTTGACATTTGTACTACATAAAAAAAAAACTGCTGAAAGGCCATTTTCCGATGGACGGTGTACAAATTTTAGTGAAACTTTCACTAATACACAAATAATTCTTTATGTAGTGGGGCCATCTTGATGTATAAGATGATGAAAAAGAATAGAATAATAATTATTTTATATTATAATTGATTTATATATAAAAAATGGATAGGATTTTAAGGAAGATTAATTAATTTTTGATATAAAGTGATTCAATCCTTTCAAAGTGAAGAAATTTAGTTTTAATCCATGAAGATTAAATTTACATGTTTTATTATACCCTTAAAAATTATATTAATAATTTTAATTTTATAAACTTTGCAAAAATGATAATTTTAATCAATAATAAAATTATCTTATCTGAAATTATTGCACATATTAAACATAAATAAGATAATATTATTTAATTTAATCATATTTATAATATCAATTTATCCTATCCAAGGATTAAATTATGGTCAAGGTTATATTTTTGTCGTGTTATGTTTATCATGGTTGCAAATATAACAGAGATCATCGTAGTTATTGTAGTCATGAATTTTTTTAATTTACACAACTTGATACAAATGATAGTAATTATAATTATAATTATTAAAATTCTTATTTGTTAATTTAAAAAGTGGTTTATAATATTTTATTTACTTAGAAAAAATTATTTCATAATTTTTTTGAGATTATATAAAGTATTATATTTTGATTTAGTAACAAATCTTTCCTTAAGAAAAGTTCATATTTAGTATTAATTTCAGGCAAACTAAATATATATTAATAAAGTAAAACATATTAAATGTCAAGTATCATATATAATAATAGTACAAATTTAAAAAATATAATTTTATTAGATTATAAAATGCTCGATTTATTAAGTAATTTATTTGTTTTAACATATTTATTAATTTAACATTTTTACCATAAATTACTTTTTATTTATTCTATAATAAACAACATTTTCAATTATTATTTAATTATACAAAAAATAATCAGAACTAATCTAATCTTAAAAAAATTAACAATAGAAAAATCATTACTAAAATTCAAATATAAAATCATAAATTAATAAATTTTTCTCTAAAAAAAATCCCTATTAGACAAAAATTAAAAAATTCCAAAAAAAAATCCACAAACCCCTTATGCCTTGCATTTTTACCATTAACTCTTCACTCTTTATTTTCCTTAACTTTCCCCCAATCTCCAACCCATTCTCGATTTCCCTCTCATTTTTCACCCAGGTTATCTCTCATTCCAATTCCCACAAACCCAAATACCGATTTTCAACATTCCTACACACCCATAATACAATTTCCCACTCACATTCTCTCTATTTGCTCTTAACTCTCTCTTATCAAGAGTTTCAATGTAGCACACATAGCAACTTTCACCAACAGAGTCCAGTTTCATTCAACAAAAAAATCACAATGAAGCTTTCAAAATTTTCAAACAAAAAAAGTAATTTAAGTGTTGCATTGCTTGTGCTTGATGTTTTGTAAGGATGTATTTTGTATTTGAAGTCTCTACCCAGCCTAAAGTAATTTTTTATTTGAAGATTTTAACCTAAATTGATTTTTTTATTTTGCTTTTACATAGAATGTTTGAACAAAAACGACAGTCAGCGATTGATAACAGAACCGATATTACCACTACTCATCATTTGCCATGTTTTCGTTGTGGCTACCTTACCGCTACTTGTTCGTGATTCAAATTCTCGTCCTTTTTCGTCAATAGTAGTGAGCAGACAATGGCGTTACTATGAAATAGCGGCTGCTACATTGCTACTCCACCACTATTTGAATCTCTGTTCTTGTTCTATTATAATCTTATTCATCAAACACATTTTATAAGTTCTCATGTTATTGAATAGCATAACACCTTACCACTATCAAAAATATATATACTAAGGGTTAATTTAGCATTGCTATTGCATTTCAAATATATATTTAAAAAATGTGATGAGAAAGTATAATTAGAAATTCTAAGTGTTTGGTGTTACATTGAAAAATTGATGTGAGTAATTGAAATGTTTAAAAATATATTTACAAAATAATAGGGTAAATTTTAGAAATATTCCATATGGTTAAGACCGAAATGAAAATTCCCCATGAGGTTTAAAACATAACATTTAACTACTTTTCAATATGTTGTATTATTTTTTTTACTCAAAACCATTACTTTTTTGTTTCTTTTTATTTTTTATTTTTTTTCTTCTTCTTCATCTCAATTCATCCTTTCTCTCTAAAAATTCATCCTTTCTCTCTAAAATTTCATTCTCTCTCTCTAAAATCAAACTAATTTTCTCTCTAAACCTAGACTAATCCACGAATAGCAACTTTCAAACTACCAAAACCTCTACACCACCACCTCCATTACAAGTTAATATCACCACCAGCCTTCATTGTTAACTCATTTTCTCTCACTAAAAATTCATTGGATGTCTGCAAAATGGTTCAACCCTAGAGGTGCCAAACTATAAGTTCTGTTCATTTGCAATGGATGGAAAAATATATAATTAGTTTGTCTGCCTTAATCATGCTTAATGACTTCTCCATATGTTTATTATATATCTCAACATTTGTTGGTTTTTAGTTCTTTATCGTTTTAGTGTCATTACCCATGTAACTATTGCTCGTGTATATAATTGTGATGTTCATCAATGAAGAATTTGTCAAACTGCTGCTTTTACAACAGCTAAGGATTCATGAACTAAGAATACCATTCCTTAATCTAGAGGTGGAGAGTAAGCTCCTATTCTCCCATTTCGTTAGTAAGGTGAATGGGTTTTCTGTGTATTTCTAAATTAATCTAAAATTTTCCTTCATGGTCTACCCATATCTACTCTTTCCAGTCCTAGATTCTTGGTTTTATGGAGTGAAACATATGCTTATGTTGCTGGGAGCAGTTTTTGATATATAAAACTTTTGGACATACATAAGATGTAACAACTATCTTCATGTGATTATTAGTTTGTCAGAGGTGTTTTATTTTCTATTAAATTGCAGTAAAGCTTTTGGTATAAATTTGAAAATTGGTATGGGGATAACAAGGCCCTCGAGCTTGATTTAATGTGAAAGAAATTGTCGGCAAAACTTGACCAAGTTAGATGACAAGTTGTCCAAATAACTGGGTCTTTTAAGTTGCCTCTTAAATGATGTTAGTAGCACCTTATCCATAGTAAAAATGGTTTTCATTAGTGAAAGCTTTCAATTATATTTATCTACTTAGGTCAAACAATGAAAATGGTGATAGGCTTAATGTATGTGAAATCAGGTGGTTTTGGGGAATGAATTTTTAGTGAGAGAGAATGAGTTAACAATGAAGTTTGGTGGTAATGTGAACTTGTAATGGTGGTGGTGGTGTAGAGGTTCTAGTGGTTTGAAGGTTGTTATTTGTGGATTGATTTGGGTTTAGAGAAAGAATTGGTTTTGTTTTAGAGAGAGATGATGGATTAAGATGAAGAAGAAGAAAAAAAATAAAAATAAAAAACAGAAAAAGTAATAGTTTTGGATAAAAAATAATAAAATAAATCATATGGTAGTTAAGTGACACGTTTTAAATCTCTAAGGAATACTTTTATTTTGGCCTTAACCATAGAGTATATTTATGAAATTTACTCAAAATAATAAAATATTAGAAATATAAACATGATAAAGTAATTTTTTATGCAAAACACACTTTTTCGCTGCAAAAGCATTTCTTAAGAAGCTTTTTGATTTGGGTTGGAAAATCAAGTTTTTGGATTGAAAGCCAAAAATTTTTATCATTTAGCATTGTGTTTACGTCAAAAATAGCTTTTGAATGCAAAAACTACTTTCAATAGCAATGCTAAACAAAATCCAAATCACTAAATAAAATATGTTTATCAACTCATCTTACAATTGTTTTACTTTTAAAATATTAAATGTTACTGTTGACTGAAATTTAAATCAGTTAACATGTTATTAAAATTAGTATTTAAAGGTTGTAAGTTTGAAAAAGTATAAATGTATAATATGTTCTTCAAATAAATAAATATTAAAAAATGATAAATTAGGAAATTTTAAATAAATTAAATGTTACTTTGCTATTAGGCCTACACAAAGAACCTAGTCCTTGTAACACTTTTATTTAAATCTAATAATCTAAAATATAATATAGTGATACAACATGAACACGATTAGAATAAAGGATACGAAAATGACATAGTTTAAAATTTTAATAATAATTATGTATGGGTTTCACAAAAAAAAACGCATTTGAACATGAATTATGACATATAATTTTTTTTTTAATATAAAATCTCCTTTCATTTATTTAAACTTGCAATATCCATTAGTACAGCTAAAGTTATCGAATCTGGAAAATCCTCTACCCAAAACCTGTCGCTATTTAGCTGCAAACTATATTGTGCAAGTGAATGAGCTGCCACATTTCCTTCTCTCTTCGTGTGTTCTATCATGCATATATCAAACTTCCTTACCCATCTTCTGCCATCATGAATAATTGGGCCTATGTTGGATAGTACCTCATCCTTTTTTGTCAAACAGTTTGAAACTATCCGAGAGTCTCCTTCAAGCACAATCTTCCTGCATCCCATTTGTGTTGCAAACTCCAACGCTTTTACTGCTGCTATTGCTTCTATTACACAAGCATCTGATACTAGGTTCACTATGAATGCCACTGCACCTGCAACTTGTCCCCTGTGATCTCGTAAGAGAACTCCAACATCTCCTTTTCTGCTGTGAGAGTATAGAGCACCATCGAAATTGACTTTGTGGAGCGTTTCTGGTGCTGCCTCCCATTTCCTTACCATTGTGTTCCTTTGGTTATTTTTCTATAGAGACTTACTTTTGTATTCAGTCAACAATATTTTGGCTTTCTGCTCAATGGTGTTTTCCGGTTGTGATTGCCCCCTCTTCACATTCGAGTTTCTGTCTTCCCATAATGACTAAAGTAACATAAGAAAATTTTCAATGTCTGTATTTGATAGTATCCTTGCAGTAGTTTCCAGCCACTCTTTGCAACTTTGACTTGTTATCTGTACCATCTGTTTCACATCGTTGCTCTTAGACAGTATTCTGGATGGGTTAGAGCAGTCCTTTAAAGCATGCAAGACAGACTTATTTGTTATTCCAAATCTTAGGCAGCACGGATTAACATTGTTGATTTTAGCTGCTAGTTTCTCCATCGTTGGCAGGATTTCGTGACAGGTTCTCCGTGCAAAGAGTTTTACTTTAGGTGGTATCAATGCCCTCCAAATTTTCCTCCATACCACGAATTGGTTTCCTGCATCTGTATCAACCTCGGATTGCACCCGGTACCTATTTTTTACTGTGTACTCCCCAGTTTTGTTAAAATGCCGAATTAATTTATCAGCCATAACCCTTCTACTTAGAGGAATCACACAGATTGCATCAGCTTCAGCTTGATTAAATTCCATCCGTATTAAGTTCTCTTTCCACCTTCCGTTCTCTTCATCGATCAGAGCCTCAATTGTGGCATCCTCCGCAATGCTGTTTGGTCTTGAAATAGGTTCAAAATTTCCTTCTATGGGTAACCATTTGTCCTGCCATATTCGGATGCTTTTTCCATCACCCACTCGTCATCTTATTCCACTAATCAACACCTGTTTCACCTCCCAAATACTTCTCCATATTAGAGATGGCTTGTAACCCAGGTTTGACTCTAGAAAACTATTATGGGGAAAATATCTGGCCTTCAAGACTTTGTAGCATAAAGATCCAGTATCATCGATTAATTTTCAGCCTTGCTTCCCTAACATAGCTTTATTGAATTTTTCCAGCTCGCGAAAGCCCATCCTACCCATAGTTTTTGGCATGCTCATTGTTGACCATTTGAGCCAGTGTATACCTTTCCCCTCTGTCTTATTTCTCCACCAGTATCTACTTATGATGCTTGTTAGTTCTTGCACTAGAGATTTTGGTAGAAGAAAGCAATTCATCGTGTAAGCTGGAATAGCTTGAAGAACTGCTTTTATGAATACTTCTTTTCCTAACAAAGATAAAAATCACCCACGCCAATTTTGGATCAGAGTTTGCACCTTCTCCTTGATGCTTCTAAAAGCTTTCTTCTTTCCCCTTCCCACTAAGGTTGGCAGACCCAAGTCCTTTTCTGAATTTGTGGTTGCATTGATCCCAAACAATCGTTGAAGTGTTTCCCTCTGGCCTCTAGTGGTGTTATTGCTGAAGAAAAGGGCTAATTTATCAAAATTAACTTTCTGGCCCGAGCTTTCTTCATATACCTTTAGCATGTTCTTCACCTTCTCGCCATCTTTTCGCTATCTCTAGCGAACATTAAACTATCGTCAGCAAAGAAAAGACGAGTAATCCGGGGACCAGATCTGCTTGACCTTACACATTGGATTTCTCCACTCCTTTGGCCTCTGGATAATAAGGCAGACAGTCCTTCTGTATATAATAGAAACAAATATGGTAACAAGGGATCACCCTGTCTAAGACCTCTGCTTGGGCAAAACTATTAGTGATGCTTCCTTTGACGATTATGGATTAGGAGACAGAGCAAACACAATTCGTAATAGTCGAAATCCACCTTGTCTGGAACCGCATTTTGGCCATAATAGCCTCAATGAAAGGCCACTCCACCCGGTCATATGCTTTACTCATATCTAGCTTTAGTGCAAAGAAACTGTTCTTCCCTTGTTTTTTATTCTTTATTGAATGTATAAGTTCATATGCAGCAAGCACATTATCTGTAAGTTGCCTACCACGAACAAATGCGCTTTGATACTTACTAATACACATAGGTATAACAAGTTTCATTCTATTCATCAAAACCTTAGCAATCAGTTTGTAGATCACATTGCATAGACTTATAGGGCGATATTGAGTCATGTTTCTGGGGTTCTTGACCTTTGGGATAAGGACATTGTATGTTTTGTTAATATCATGCAAATGCTGGTGACCATTTAAGACTTCCAAGCAAAACGAAATTATGTCACTGCCAACAACATGCCAATTTTTTTGGTAGAAAAGGGCAGGCATACCATCAGGTCCAGATGATTTTGTAGGGTGCTTCTGTTTGAGTGCTTGGACTATTTCATTTGGTTTGAACTCTGCTAAAAGGAGCTTTTTCATCTCGTCTGTAACTCGGTGGTCCCCCATCTGTAAGATATCTTATATGTTTCGTGATTCTTGGGATTCAAAGAGCTTTTCAAAGTAGTGTTTTGTGATATTGTACATTTCCCCCTCCCCTACACACCATTTTCTATCGTCATCTTTGAGTCCTGTAACTAAATTTCTCCTTCTTCGGTTGTTCACCTGTGTAGGGAAGTATGCAGTGTTCCTGTCTCCTTCTCTCAGCCAGTCCACCTTTGCTCTTTGTTTCTAAAAAATTTCTTCTTTCTCCAGCAAATCATCCAGCATTTTTTTTTGCCCTGCTTTCCTCACCCATGATGCCATCATCCACTTTTTGACTTTTCAACCAACTTAGTTTATGGTTGAGTTCGTCAATCTGGCGGCTAACATTCATGCCGCCTCTTCAAAGTGTTGCCTACCTCATGAATCCTCCTTTCCACCGTTCGCCTATTGTTGGCTTTCCACTTTTCTGCCGTATTGTTCTTTTTCCACTTTTCTGCTACCACCTCTTCACATTCCAGCTCCCTACACTACATTTCTTCGAAATAGAAATGGTGTTTTTTCGTGCCATTGCCTTGTTTGTTGCTCCCACTTGTGTTTAACAATAATGGGCAATGGTCCGATCTTGACCTTCTTAAGTGTTCTACCCAAAAAATGTGGGAAGATATCACACCATCCTTTAGTAGCTAAACATCGATCAATCCTCTCTCTGATTAAGTCTTCAGCCTTCCAGACTTTTGTCCATGTAAACCATGTACCCATGAAACCCAAGTCTACCAAATTACTATCCTCTATTGCTTCTCTGATGCTGTGATTTGCTTCTCAGGTCGCAAGCACTTCCCACTTTTCTCACTATCATTTAGAATCTCATTGAAGTAACCCACGCACAGCCATGGTCGTTGTGATTGCGATGCTAGCTCCCTTAGAAGCGCCTAGGAAATGTTTCTCAATTTCGGGTTCACCAAAAAATCCCGTTATTCTCCATGTTGGCTTGTCATCCTCAATAAATTCCATATCGATATGGTATCTGGAGAAAGTTCTTAGTTGAAGTGTGTAGTCATCTCTCCACATCATAGCTAGCCCACCGCTTCTACCTATGCGATCAATTACAAAGCTGTTAGCCATCCTGCATTTCCTTCGGATCCTATCAAACTCAATTGAATTTAAATTTATTTCACACAAAAAGACAACATAGGGACCTTGTTTCTGAACGAGCTTTTTCAAAGCTCTGACTGTCCGTGGGTTCCCAAGCCCACGGCAGTTCCAGATTATGGTTTTCATGACGATTGGCGGGACTGGGAACCAATCACCGCCAATGTCTCTACAAACAGGTTATTGCTGCCCTCATCTGTTTTAAATTTTTTCTCCAGCCCATCAACTTCCATAAGGTCCATTTGGTCGAAGAAATCTTCTGTTTTTCTTTTGTTTCCAGCCGAACCTTTTGAGCCTCCACGTGCGCCTTGTTGCCTTGCTATTCTTTTCCTTTTTGTATTTGTCACATTTATTTTACATGCCCCATGAGCCTTGTTGGTTTCTCCGTGCACGTGAGTTTCCCCTGTGTCATTATTAACATGCACATCCTCTTGTCTTATTCCTGCTTTAGATTGCTTTTCCTGTTTCTGATTTTCCTCCAAACTCTCTGTGGTCTTAGCATTAATTTCTATGTTATTATTAGTTGATATATAATTTTTATATAAAATATAATATAAATATATAAATTTTAATATTTTATATAATATCAATACATGAATCGTTGTATCTACCTTTATTCATAATCTTTGAAAATATTGAAGAACAGCTAGCATCAATTCTCAAGACTTTAGCTTCAAGTACTACCTAAAGTTTCTCAGAAATATGTACTTTCTTTTAATTGCATGATTGTTTACATGATGGAACAAAACTTGAGTACTACACTCTTTATAGCTTCACGGATTGCAATCTTTACTGCTTCAAGGGCTGCAGTCTTTACTTCTTCAACTATATTCTGAAACATATAACAACAGCAATGTTTTAAAACACTAATTTTTGCCACACACGCAATGCGTGCGTTGCAGATGGATGTATAAGAAATATGAAATTATAAATATATTTATAAAATATGAAGCAATTAAGAAAAAATACCAAATGAAATTGTGTTCAATTTATTATTAGATATTCAAACGCGTTTGATTATAAGTGATAGCAATATTACTTTACTTATACCAACAAATTACAATATTATAAGTTATTGTCTTAATTATAATAGTCATTAATATATTTATAAGGGATTAACTAAAATTATTTTTAATATGGAATTTTGATCTCTTAAAAAACCAGTAATTAAATATATAAATAGTACTCAAGGATATACCTCATCTTAAATCAAATAATTGTTTTATGTATTTTTTTTTTTTTAATATTGAAGTACTCCCATCAATTAACTTTGGCTTATTATTAGTATTTTTCGTTAAGAATGAGATATAAGAATGAAAATTAATAAGATATGACACACCTTAGACAACTATCAAAAAGATATTTTTATATCTCAAAGGTAAAATTTATTCTAAACCCTTCTTTAGAATTCAAAATTTGATGAACAACTTCGTTATATAGTATAAGTTATCTAAAAAAATTCTATCCTCTATCCCATATTTTCTAAATTATATAGAATCCATACTATTATAAAATTATGTCATAGAATTATAAGTCAAAGGATTCA